GGTTCAGGGTTTAGGGTTTAGGGTTTAGTGTTTAGGATTTAGGTTTTAGTGTTTAGGGTTTAGGGTTTAGTGTTTAGGATTTAGGGTTTAGGGATCCTGTGAATCTTTCGAGCCCAGTCAGGCATAGCAAGGCAGGATAAAGTCTCGCTTTAGCCTGCGAAGCTGTTCGCCGAACCTCGGGATTCTCAGCCTTTAACCCTGAACCCCTAAACACGGTTTGGGGTTTAGGGTTTTAGGACTTAGGGTTCAGGGTTTTAGGATTTGGGGTTGAGTGCTTTAGGGTTTTGGGATTTGGGGTTTAGGGTTTTGGGGTTTGGGGCTTTAGGGTTGAGGGTTTAAACTCCTAAGCCCCAGAATGTGTCGTGGTCCACGCCCGAGGACCCGAAGCCTCTAATCCCGAAGTACATCCTCAAACCATACTTCCAAAATCCATGACTGCAAAAAGCTACGCCCAAACCCGTTAGGACTGGGTTTAGGGTTCAGGGTTGACTGGTTTAGGGCCTAAACCCTAAACCCTAAACCCTAAACCCTAAACCCCAAACCCTAAACCCCAAACCCTAAACCCTATCCCTGCCCAGGTACATATGGCTAACCTAGCAACCGGGGCTCTCTCCTTGCCCCTGGCCGCCCGACGCATCAGAATTTTGGGATTTGTTGCATCTAGACGTAGGGTTTTAGGGTGAAGCGTTTCAGTCGAGTTTTAGGGTTAAGCGTTTCAGTGCCCTCCAGGTTTATTTACAAAGTAGCTGCCCGCGTGGCTTTTGGCATCAGGTCAGGTATACAAGCTCGTGGCTACTTTTGCCCTTTGTTTTCTGACGCTTTAACCTGTGTCCGTGGACTGCAGCCCGAGCCCAAAAACCAAACCACTAGAGGCACTATAAAGCTCAAACCGTGAATCGGACCTGGATGCGCAGTCGGTGCCATCCTGAGGCAGATGCCAAAAAGGCAGCGTTTTTCACGCTTCGGAATGCAAACCCAGGCCCTAAGCCCCTGAAGAACCCCAAACCCAACTCCCCAAGCCCCTAAACCCTAAACGGGAGCTTCAAGCCAAAACCTTGCAATCTACATGCTGAAGCATACCCGAGTTTTAGATCCTAAGGCCTCCCCGAGGTTTAGGGTTTAGGGTACACCTTAACACGTATACCTAAAACCCTAACCTTGATCTCTATGGCCTACAGCACGCCTTCCCAGGTGAGCGTCACTTTGCCCTCGTTCGCTTTGGGCCTTTTGATCACCTTCAAGACCCAGAGCGGGCCGCTGTGCCTACATGGTTCAGAGATAAGCCTGGTTTCGGGGCTATAGAAGAGAGAACTCTCTTCGCTCCTTATGCTAACCATCACATGATTCAGAGTTGTACAGGGTTTTTTCAAGCTTTCAGAGACCTCATGAGGTTTCCTAGGGTGCACGGATCTTAGAAAGTCAAGCAGTCCAATTTACGGGTGTCCTTAGCAAGATCCCAAATCTACACCCTAAACCCCTAAATTTTAACCCCCAAACCCTGAACCCTAACCCCTAACCGCCCAACCCCTAAACCCCTAAACCCCTAACCCCTAAACCCTAAACCCTAAATCCCCAAAACCCTAAACCTTAAACCCCAATTCACACTCATCCCCACGGTGAATTAGGGTCTCTGGGTTTAAGATTGAGACAATTTCTTGGAGCAAGGCATTTGTCCCGAAACCCTGAACCCTTAACTCCCGATCCCGCACCGTTTCAGCCCCGCAGCCCCAAAGCCTAAACAGATAACCCTAAACCGCCAGCTCTTCCATTTTCTGCCACCGCCCTGAAATCCCGATTTCGAGGCCCTTTTTTCAATCTGAAGCGCAGCCACTGTCCTGGGGAGGCCCTTTAGATTCAAGGGGTTTAGGGTTTAGGGGGTTCAGGGTTTCGGGTTTAGGGCTTAGAGCTTGAACTTTAGGGGTTTAGAGGTTCAGGGGTTTAGGGGTTCAGGGTTCAGGGTTCAGGGTTTAGGGTTTAGGGTTCAGAGTTTGGACTTTAGGGATTTAGGGTAACCCTAAACCCTAAACCCTAAACCCTAAACCCTAACCCATAACCCTTAATCCCGAACCCCGAAGGTATCATCGCTTCATCGAGGGCCGGGAGCTCTGGAACGGTTTGGTCCGGGCCGCCTGGCCGAAAAAGGGCGCTATGGGTCTGGCGATCGGTTTAGGGTTTAGGGTTTAGGGGTTTAGGGTTTAGGGTTTAGGGTTTAGGGGTTTAGGGTTTAGGGTTTAGGGTTTAGGGGTTTAGGGTTTAGGGTTTCGGGGGTGGAGAAACTAAAAACAGAGGGCTTCATGACTTGAACGGAGTTTTGGGTGGAATGCAGGGTTGCAGAGGGTTTGAGGCCTTTATGTTGGGATTTGAGGCTTTTGAGCTAGGGGTGTCAGGCATTTTTTGGTCTGAAGTTTCCGGATGACCGGTGTAAGGATTGAGGCCTTCAGAGTGCAAGGGCTTGCGGGATTTGCAGGCATAGGACCTAGGACTTTGGATTTAGAGCCACCGAGGCGACGCCCTAAACCCTACACCCCACTACGGCGTTGAAACACATGTAGAGACGTGGACCGAAGCTTAGAACACACAGCAAACCCAAACCCTAAACCCTAAACCCAAGAAAGTCCTACAGGCATGACCCGAGAAGAACCCACAGCCACCTTGCTGCCCCTTGCCCTCAACCCCGGGCCCTAAACCGCTCCAAACCCTAAACCCCGTAAACCCGAGCCCTGAGCCCAAGAGTCGTAGCTCGCTTTTCCGAAGCTGAAGATACCAAAACAATAGTCGAAGGAAGCATGGAGAAATGGAAGCCTTAGTACCGTAAGCCCGAGACCCTAGGCCCTAAACCCATGCCCAATGTAGCTCTGCCAGAGCATACTCACATGTTTCCTTCTGCCAAAGGGGGCTAGGGTTTAGGGTTTAGGGTTTAGGGTTTAGGGGCCTACTTACCAATACCATTTTTGGGGCTCCCTGATCATAACTACAGTATAATATTCCTGAAGACCCTAGTCTAATCCTTAAGGCCCTAAGCCCTACACTCTCAGCCCTTAACCCTAAACCCTGAACCCAAAACCCTAAACCCTAAACCCTAGATTCTAAACCCTAAACCCTAAACCCAAAACTCTAGATCCTAAACTACACCCTAGATCCTAAACCCTAAATCCTTAAGGCCCCTACTCTAAGTATCAAGGCCCCTCTGGGCTGGACCCACAGCCGACGTTGCAAGCCCGAAGCCCGAAAGCGAACACTTAAAACCCACACGCAAAGCCTCAACCCTACCTGATATCTTAGGGTTTAGGGTGTAGAGTTTAGGGAAAGAAGTAGCAGAACCTACAGGGAACCCTCGACATAGTGGTTTGAATATTTACTTGCAGCGCTGAAGTCTCCTTACAACCCTTGGTATATTTTTGCGATGTGCCTCACAACCTAGTCGAAGCCCTATATGGGTAGTTCTCTAAATTAGAGTCCCTTTTTAGGTCCCCAATATATAGTACGGCACCCTTATGAAAAGGACCCGAATTTAGAGAACTACTAACTACCCATATGAAACCATATAACGCCCACAGAGCCTGCTTTTCGCCCCCTTCGAGGAGTCCTAGGCTAGTTGTGAAAGCTTTCGCTCTAAGGAGTCCCGGTCCCTCTCGAGTCGAATTCTTCTTCGAGCACCTGGGCGTGCAGGGGGGGGGGGGTGTAGGATTCCAGGATTTAGGGCTTGCGGCTTCTTGGCAACGGTCTACAAACCTTTGCTGAGGTTCTGCTGTACATTCTAAGCCCCTAAACCCTAAACCCTAATGGTTTTGAATGTGCTTAGGTTGCAGAGGTTGCGCCTTTTGAGGTTCCTTCAGATGAGTTGTTTGGGGCTTTTTTTTGGGTTTTGCTACGTCAACCCCGACCCCGAAGCCCTAAACGAGCAGTGCAGGTTTCTGTTAGTGGGTGCTTGGAGTTGAGATTCTGGATTTAGGGCTTCGTGTGTTGGGGCGTAGGTTTGAGGATGTAGGGTTTAGGGTTTAGGGTTTAGGGTTTAGGGATTAGGGTTTAGGGTTTAGGGTTTAGGGTTTAGGGTCGGAGGTTTGAGGATGTAGGGTGTCGTGTCTAGGCCTCGTGGCTAGGAGTTTCAGAGGCTCAGGGGTTTGGGTAGTAGTACTAGGGGCACTCATCGAAGACTGTTATGCTTTTTTGTAAACCCTAAACCGTAAACCGTAAACCCTAAACCCTAAACCCTAAACCCTAAACCCTAAACCCTAAACCCTAGAGCAGGCAGTTGAGGTTCCATGTTAGTTCGTGGTATGGTCTAGGGTTTAGGGTTTAGGGTTTGGGGTTTAGGGTTTAGGGTTTAGGCTCTGCAATGTTGCGCTGGGTAGAGAGGCTGTTTCCCCATAGCCACAAAATCTTAACACATGAATTCTCTAAAGCCTGACCCCAAAGCCATTCACCTCAAACATTGAAGCTCAAGCATTGAGGCCTTAACCTCATTGCCTTGTAGGTTTCGGTTGTAGGGTGTCGGTTGGAGGGTAATGTTATAAGGTGTAGTAGGGGTTTGTAGAGTGAAGGCTAAGGGTTTTTTAAGTCGCGAGGGCAGATGCGAGATTGAAAACCTAAACCCTAAACCTGAACGTCCTGTTCAACCTCTTCCCTCTGCGAAGGTGCCGGGTACCGCCGGCATCGAGTGCACGCCGGCAGCTCGCCGAAGGACTTCTCGGGAGATTGTCGGACGTCTGAAGGTTAAGACCTGACAGACATCCTACTAGAAACTCACAGGAAACCTATTCTTCTTGAGAAGCGCCTTTTTTGTCTATTGGCCTAACCCCCCCAAAGCCTTTTATACGTGTATCACTACTTCCTTTAACCCCCTAAGCCCCAGACTCCTGGACACTACACCCGCATTACACTAAACGGTTTAGGGTTTAGGGTTTGGGGTAAAGTTCACCCCCCAAGCCCCGAAGCCCCTTAACACTAAGCCTCACCCCAGACCCCCACCCTACAGCCCCTTAAGCTTAGAACTCGAAAACCTAAAGCTTAAACCCTAGATCCTAAACCCTAAACCCTAAACCGTAAGCCCCAAACCCCAAATCCCGAGTTTCAGTGTGCAGATGGCATCCTTCGGTCCCGGCGTTTTGGGGCATTGGGGTTTAGGGTTTAGGGGTTCGGGTTTAGGGTTTAGGGGTCAGGGTTTAGGGTTTACGGTTTAGGGTCTTTTGGGTTAGGGTCAGAGTTTAGAGTTTGAGCTTTTCGGGATCAGGATTTTAGGGGTCTAGGAGGTCGGCGCCCTGAACCAATGCCTACCGCTACAGTACTATAGCCAAGCTTTGAAGCACCAGGTTCGAAGCTCTCCGCACCACCGTTCGCATGAACGCTGCCATTTTGGGGCTCTAGTGTTGACCTTTGCTTCAACTTATTTGTCAGATTGTTTGACTGTAGGTTTCATAGGGGTCTGGTAGTCCCTAAACCCTACACACCCTCAACCTCTGACCTTAGCACCTAAACCTAAACCTAAACCCAGCCCTGAGCCTTAAACCCTAGAGCCAAACCCCCCAAAACCCTAAGACAAAACGAGGCCATACCCCACCCACGGAAGAGCCTCTTTCGAGCAGCCAAGGTCTACGATGCGCCTGGGGCCAAGCTGATGCAAGGAGTTCTACTCCACGCGAGTTATAAGAGATATACAAGAGTTTCTGTGCGGGTTAAATGAGAGTTTTTCGACGGTCCCAGATTCGAGTGTTCCATAGGAGTCATTTCTGCTTGTATTGAGGTCCACGGGTTTAATACCATTACTATGGCCATTACTATCTACTGCTATTACTTTTGGTGTCACCAGTAGTTTTACGATTATTGTGACTATTACTAAACAAGCAGCTGTTCAGGGGCTAGGGTTCGTCCACTTCATGGCTTTGTGAATCAGGGATCGTAACCTTTTCTTTTTACGGGCCATGTCATAAGCACCACACCCAAAAGGGACGCTGGATTCTCACAAACCCTCAAGTGAGTCTTGCCGCTTCGTATTTCGGGGTTTTAGCCTTCAACGTTTCATTGCTACGTCCCATCCTTCAAATGGTCTCAGGGGAAAATATCGCGCTTCAGCACTTCCCCTCTGCAAGTGTAAATTCAAGGTTGAAGGCTTGAGGTGATATTACACCCTAAGCCCTAAACCCTAGACCCTAATATTGGTGGCAAACCCTAAGCCCTAAACCCTAAACCTTAATATTGGTGGCAAACCCTAAGCCCGAAGCCCTAAACCCTGATATTGGTGGCAAACCCTAAGCCCTAAACCCTAAACCCTAATATTGGTGGCAAGCTCTACAGTTTCGGGTTTAGGGTTAAAAGCCATAGAGCCGACATTAGCGAACCTTGTGCTCTAAGACGGGGCCTACACCAGAAAACCTCAAGAAACAAGAGACCCTACCTACCCTAAACTCGCAAGCTACAGGCAGCAGTATGCCCTGAAGCTCATCCGGTGTTTTGCCATCGCTTTGAAGTATCACCTGACTGAGGAGCCGCAAGCGGGGCTTCAGGTGTCGCGCGTTGAGCTTCGGGGTTCGAGGTTTTGTTCGAGTTGTAAGAGCGCTTTGAAGTTGCATGTTAGGCTTTAGCTTGAGGTGTGCTTGCTTTTTGACTAGCAACCCTAGTTCCAGCAGCCGCAACGCTAAACTTTGAAACCCGAAGCAGAGTGTTTCCACTTCAAGGCAGCATTCCTGCACCTTGAGCTTTCACCACACCGGACGACCCGCTAGGATGGCTGCAATCCTCACATTCAACTCGGTGTGGGGCTCAGGGAAGGGGTCTTGTTTAGGGTATTAAGGCTTAGCTTTATTAGGGCTTTGGGGCCTAAACCCTAAACCCTAAACCCTAAATGTAGGGCTTGAGGGTGTAGGGCTTCAGGGGTTTAGGATTTGGAGTCCCGGGGCTGAAGGGCTCGGGGGTTCATCCTCCAGGCATGGGTTCTTCACGTTTTCGGGCCTCGGCAGTGGTGCAGGGTAGCTTTGCCTGTTGTGTTGCTACTTCCAAGCTTTAGGGGTTTAGGGCTTAGGGTTTCGGGCAAGCTTGACAGTTTGGAGCCTGGTAGGTTGAGGGTAACATGCAAAAGCAGCAGCGTTCGAGGCTCAGGGTCTACAGGCTACACGGGATAGGCCTTACAGCTAAACCTAAGTTCTAAACCATGAACCCTAAACCCTAAACTAGGCTTGGGGGCAAAATGACCCGGAATCCTGTGTGGGTTCGGTTCATTTGCCACCGAGGCCTTGGACACAAAACACCCAAAGCCCTCAAGACCCCAAAGAGCCTAACGTTGGCCCTTGAGGCCCGGAAGACCCCAGAAAGTATGTAGATCCCGTTGCAGATCCCGTCCAGACCCTAAACCCTAAACCCTAAACCTGAACCGTAAACCTGTCAGGACTTGAGTCTAAAAGCCCAGCCGTCTCAGGCTCACGCACAACGGAAGAGGACGTGCGGCAAGCTACGACCAGAGCTTTCAAGGCAAATGGCATCCCGGGTCCAGAAACAACTCGAGCCGAAACCACAAAAGAGGGGGCTTTGTAATTGGAGTTCCTTCAAAGGTTCCTTGAGAGGGTTCTATCTATGAGGGTTTATAGACTATGCTTGTCTGTACCCCTGTCACAGAGGTTCATAAAAGTAGATCCCATGTCGGGTTCAAGGCTTCCGGGTTTTGGGGCTCTCCAGACCCCGAGCCCTAACTCAACCCTAAACTGACACCCCAAACTCTACGGCTCCGAAGCCCCTGTGTGAAACCTGAGAGAAGCCGTCTTCAAAGCACGGAAGAGCAGTCAGAGCACCAACAGACCAAGCCCCGAGCCCTCGTTCCTCGACGCTAATCCCGAAACCCCAGTCCGAAGCCTTTAATCCTGATCCCATTTAGGGTTTAGGGTTAGGGCTTAGCGTTTAGGATGTCGTAGATACAAGCCACCATAGACCCTCAAGGACTCCTCGGTCTTTCGCTAGATGTTGCAGCCCCTTGCACAGCCCGCATCCAGCCTTCATAGAGCCTTGAAAGAGCCCTATGAAGGGACCCCCTGAAACTCTAAACCCCAAACCCAAAACCCTGAACAGCCCTAAACCCGAAACCCCAACTAAACCCTAAGCCCGGAACGCCCTGTATCCTATGCTCTAAGGTCAGAAGTATGGGCCCCTAATATGGACCCTTAGGCCTTTCTAGGGACCCTTAAGGGTACACATAGGGTCTAGAGTAGGTGTATAAGGATCCCAGGGTTACGGGCCCATACTAGGGGTCCATGGGTTCAACCCTAAACCCTAAACCCTTGTGAAGTCAGGCCGAGCTTGGCTGCATCTGGGATGCGCGTGCGTCGGAAGAACGGGGCTTCCTCGTGGGGATCTCGGTTTTTCGGGCTCCGTAGGTTTGTTTTCAAAAGGAATAGGGTTTAGGGTTTAGG